GACGAAAGCTGTCAGGGAGGGAACCCAGATCACAGTAAACTACGGCGACGAAGTCTGGTTTAAATGTGCGTGTGACGACTGCTGGAAAGAGGAGCATTAGGAGTAGAATCACTGTCAAATCAATTTTGGTTTGTTACATCAGTTCCATACGTATTTAGCTCCAGAACTTGCAAAACGAACATCCTGCATCTTTACTAGTTAAGGATGTCTTACTACAGGCATATCGGACACTGTACAAGCGCGGAAGTTAGTGTCCGCCAACTTCCTGGGTCAGAACACTCTCATCACTACGTTTCCGAAGCATTGGAGGATCATATGCTACTGTACATGCAAACGTGCAGATGCTGGAGCTATATTGGTGTTGGTTACAATATCCTCGCTTGCAGTGCCTATTAAAAGTGTACTGATATGTGAATTATGCGAATCCGAGACCTGAATGTGCTTGCAGCGTGTCTTGGACTTACAAACGTATTCGAAACTAAGTACTCACATATACTGTCCCCCTCCATGTATTATAAGTACACTACAGGCGTTTACGAGTTGATGTAGAGCTGCATGCAAGTGCTGGACACACTACTTCACTCCAACGACAGCGCTGGACCGATTAGACGAGGCCTTCCTCCGAGCGTATCCCTCCTGCGCTTCCCAGTTACTCGGCGATTCACCAGCAATCGCCTCCCTGCTCCATCAAGTCGATCGGAAGCCCGTTGAGCAAACAGTAGGTGAACGCACGTCCCGAACTTGAAGTAGTAGTTGCAAGGACACCATTGCGATCGTAGATAAACACTCCAACCGTAGGGCGGCTGATCCTGAACCTCCATCCGCGCGTAGTTTGCGCCCATTTGCGCTGACGCTGCTATCTGCTCTTCTGTTGAGCGCTTTGCTCCCTCCGCCACGATGCGTTTGGTTGGCAGTGCCAACACGTGCGTCACACCAGCGTCACCCAGACTGGTATCGGCAGCAATGTTGCGAGCCAACAGCTTTTCGCGAGTAAGCTCCACCGCACGGCGCGTCAGGGCAGGCGCAGCGTCTGGTGTGGCACGGAAAACCCGTTGTTTTGTCGATTCATGCCTGCAGCAGTCGCTCAGCTCTTTTAGTAGTGCTCCCATTTTCAAACGTCGTCGTAGCGTGTAGTCTCGTTTCAACACCCTGTTGAACTGCTCAACAGAATTGTTGGTGGTGGCGAAACCACTGGGAGTTAAGTAGCACTGCCACAAAGTAAAGTTTCGACGAAGCCACTGCCCTTCAAAGTAGGAACAAAAATCCACCAGGTCCGGGTATCTCCTCCAAGTTTGCAAATAGTGATCCAGCATCCAGCAAAATGAAATTTGGTCGCGGGCAAAGTGCAGGTCGTAAAGCCCACACACTAACGCTGCTGCTACATGTGAGGGAAATCCTTTCAACCGCTTTTCCACGTTAGTCATAACGTGAAAAAAACACATCAGATATTGCAGCTCTGGGTCTTCGCGGAACACCATGAATATTGCATTCCGTTGTGCTTTCTCGGCGTCCCCCATCACGTAGCGAGGTGCTAGTCTTTTGCTTGTTATTCTGTAGTAGATCCTGCTTAGAGAAGCCAAGCAGGCCTCGTAGATCGGCTGCAGGCGCTGAGAGACGACGAAAACTGCCACGACGTGGAAACTGTGCACACGATCGGATATCCCGACCACGATGACAGGGTAGTCGGACGTGTTCAGCTTATACGTGGCGTCCATATGCAGGATGTAGCTCTCAGGAAGAAGCGAAAGCCGTCTCACAAGCGTCTTCGTCGTCAAACCTACCACAAAAGGCTCTTCATCCGAACCGTCGCCCATAGCAGGCCTTCCCTCCGTGTCAAGGTCCCCAAGCGAACGTGAAGGTCTCGTTCTCGTCCTCCGTGCCAGTAAACGCGCGCGCATGAATCCACTGCGTCAGGTCGTCGACGCGGTCGTGATTGTCCAGTTCGGTGCGGTTGTAGTAGTTGCAGAAGTTTTGGAATTTGTTCAGAGGAGGGATAGCAGGTGCAGGCGGATGAAACTTCTGGGCCATGGCTTGCTGGATGCGGAGTGGCCGCAGCCTTTGTTGTGAGAGTTCTCGACAGTAATTTTTCTGCTTCCTAGATAGCTTCGGGCGCTTCGGGGAGGATGCACCAGTGAGGTGGCCCCCCAGCTCATAAATGTAGGCGTCATTGGACTCAGAGCAGACAAGCACCTTGCCTCGCCAAGAGCAAGTAGTGTTGCTGCAGGTGGCCGACTCGCATTTAAGCAGCCTGTAACGCATGCTGTGGTGGTAACCACTACGACACACAGTGCAGGGCATTGTGTTGCTCTTGTCCGTGCTGTGGGTCTTGAACGTGCCGAGGATGATGTCGGCCTCGTCGACGCCGAGCTCACACCCCAGCTCCCTCCAGGGCAGCGTCCGGGGCATGCTTCGCCAAGCTCGCGAGAATGAACGGAGACTCGATCTGATTGGACGCTGGACTCCACTCTAGGGCGGCTGAATTGCGCTTGCTCTGCGCACACTCAAGCCACGAGTGCGCCTGCCTTGCACAAAATGCAGGCTGTTCTTTTACCTTTGTGGAGGTACCTGGTATTGGAGTGCCAGCGAGCATCTTAATGCAAGTTCTGGCTTCTTACTGTGTTTTTCAAAGTTTGAAAAAGCTCAGACACATTTTTGTGCGTTTCCCCAAGTTTACAGTGCTCTCGCAGTACAGTTAAGTGCTTTTCACGCGTTGTCATCTAATAGTCGTATAATACTGTAATCTACGACTCGTAGGTGGTGTAATAAGACCATATTACATCAGGCAGACAGAGGAACTGGTGGATGTATGTTTTTCCCGAAATGATTGTATTCGTTTTTATCTGCGAGGCAAATCGCGGTCCCATGCACTGTTGAGTGAGTGTACTATTAGTCTTAATTCATGTAGATTGCATTGTAAAATATCAAATACTTCAGATGTAGTATTAGCATTTATGAATAATTTGTTTAGACAATACTCTCGGTTCGAGAAATCACAACATATCACAAACAGAAGTTATCACAATCCAGCGTGTACCAAAAATGATGGTCATACTTATATCAAGAATGTATGGTTTGTGCTGGTTTGACCGTGTGATTGTACAAAGGAGGCCTGTCAAGTTGACTGGTTGAAAGTGTCGCTACTCACCACCCGACCACTATTTCCTAAACCACCCAAAATTGCTTCTCTAGCGCAATCTGGAATCAGTTGGTCGACCAAAAGCAGCAAAAATATTGCTGAAAGACATTGACCATCCTTCCGTGCCTGATTCATTTTCTTAGTGAGCGACCTTTCTTCATTGATGGTCCAGCTTTATATCAGTAGCGAGAGGAAAGAGGCAGCAATCTCGACGCCACTGTGAAAGATGCCGATACATTTGATCTTGGGTAGCCCAAACTCTATGAGATCACTATTTGGGATAGCACAGACGAGAGGATTTCCTGTATTGTGCGATACTTCGAGGTAAAGACAAGTACATTTTAAAGTTTAAACGTACCTGCCAGATTCTCTACATGTATTATAATAATACAGCTGTCGAACCCATCCTCGCTATAAATCCTACAGAAACATTTTCTCTCTTCGGCTGGTGTCACTTCGCAATTTGCCTCGCACACAGCGCAAGAACACACGCCAACGGACTGTTACGGCAATGCGTCTTTGGTGTGTTTTCATAAGCTTACTGGAAGTTGTCCCTCGTCGCAACTACGGATGTGAGAGCTACAGAAAAAGACTTAGTAGCTCATTCGGTACAACGTGATACCGGTATTCCAGACTCCTCCATCCGACTATTACGGACCCAAAACGTCGCGGACGAAAATGAAGAGAGAGCGTGTCGATACCTGGGGTTGACAAGTTCTCAAACTTAATGAACAACCAGAAAGTGTCAAAATGGCTGAAGAAAAATAATGACGTGGACGCCGTCTTCGTGAAGCTGAAACTCAACACGGCAGGTGAGGATATTTTTTCGAACCCCAAATTTCTCGTCTGGGCCAAGTACGTGAGCAAGTTCAACGGCCAGCACGACGACCAGACCATGTCGATGTTGCCAACGTTGATGAAGAAATACGATCAGGCTCGTTTGGGGAGGATGCTGGAAGAGGCCAAGCATGTTGACGCCACCAAAGACATCGCCACAAGACTGCAGAGTGAACAGATGAGATTTTGGAAGAATTCGGGGGTTACCGCAGACGATGTTTTTAAGTTTTACAAGCTCGACAAGGGGGTATCGAACTTGCTTGAAAACCCTGCCATGAATGTCTGGATCCGATATGCGAATGACTTCAACCCCGGACCAAAAACAACGCTCTTCGAAAAACTGAGCAAGAGCTATTCAGACACAACGCTGTCCCAGATACTGATCGCGGCGCAAAAGTCCAAAAAGACGGAGGTGCTGGCAGCAGACCTGCAGAGCCAGCAAATCCGCGTTTGGTTGGACAGGCTTGAACCGCCGGAGAATGTCTTCAAGTTGCTCATACTCGACAAGGGGGCAGACGGACTGCTTGCGAACCCGCAAATGCAAACGTGGATCCGATATTCAGAAAAGTACCTGAGAGAGAATCCTTACTCCGCGAAGGTGACCGTGATCGGCACTCTGACAAAGTACTACAGTGACACCGCTATGGTAACTATACTGAAGACGGCGAGAACGCACAAGGCAAGATACGCGGCCTCGGGTTTGGAGAGGGATCTCCTCGCAAAATGGGCGAGAGCGCAGAAGTCAACCGACGACAATTTGAAGACTCTGAAGCCGTCGACTGCGGCGGAAAGGACGCGTGTGGAAACCTTGTATCACACGCTCCTCCTAGATGCTGCAAAGCCGGTGCTGTGTGCGGCTATTATACATGTACATGTACTTCGTATTTGTTAGTAGTATCGGCAGCTTCGTAACTGCAAATACATCCATAGTTTGTGGGCCAGGAAACTCAAAGGGAAAACCTCAGTAACAGTGTAGCTGTACAGTAGAGTCTTCTGTAGTCATTCACATCCCAGCCAAGCCTCATATTCAGGGTTGCACGGACCCCCAACACCTCGAGCGATTTGATATCGCCTCATCTTGATGGGAAATGGATTTGTGTCGCACGCGATACCCATGAATCTCGCATTGTAGCACATCGATTCGACCCCGCTGGCATCGACGCATTGTCGGTATAGAGTGCCATTACACGGATCCATGGTGGCTGATGTTGGTGGACCTTCTAGAGAACCAGGATACAGTAAACCATTGCAGACATTGTCTGGATACTTTTGAATAAGTGCCAGAGTGCCAGGAGTAGCCTTGTCACGGTTTGACGTTAAACACGAGGCCGCTGGTGTGCCCCAAAGAGGGTGGATTTGACACATTGGGTGCTGGAGATCGCACTCACCCAAGAAGCCATTACAGCACCAGGTGCCTCGATCGGTTAGAATCAGAGACTTGAGGTTCTCCTGGATCGGAGCGAAATCCGGAAGACTATCGAGACCAGGTACACACGTGACAAGTAACCGTTCAAGGCGGTAAAGATGGTTGAAAGCTGGAAGCTGGTCTAACAGCAGGAACACTGCCAGTGTGAGTGACTTGAGATTTGTGAGTCCTTGAAAAGACGGGAGCCGCCTCATCGGGACAAAACCCGCGAAGTGAATGAATGTCAACGACGACATGTCGTGGAAAATATCGTCCGGTACAACCACAAAAGGGCTCGTGAATTTACTCTCAAGGTGTCTGTCCGCAACGTAATAAAGCGAGTTAGACAAGTCGAACAATTACGTTAGCTGTGAATATTATTACGCACAAAAATTCCAGTTCCGCGAACTCCTTGAACCAGTTGGGTAATGTCTGTGTGTGCGTGTACTCCAGAGTCCTGAAATATAAGAAAAACAAAAGTTTGTTAGATCCCAGACAAATGTAGTGGTAGGGTAAAACACGTACAGATGCCTCAACTCAGTGCAGTGTCGAAGTTCATTGGGCAGAACTGGGAGATAACGGTTCGTTATCTGCACCGTCTGAAGGTCGCCTCTTGTTGCGAGCTGAGCCAGTTTATCCGTCACATTTTCGGGCTGTTCCCACTCGGCGTACGATTTTGGTGCGATGTCACGGTCGATCATCATCAAGCAAGGACACTGCGTCAAGGATTCGCTCTCCAGAATTGTCCACCGCCGAGCGTGCACAGCACATTCGGGATGTGGGTCACACGCGATATTCGACGTACGGACGCTCTCTTCTACAAATATGACCAGTAGAAGAGCATACACCACGAACAAAACAGCAGCAGATCGATGTCTTCTTGGATACACGCGCGCGCGTTGCTTCCACGGGCTCTGGATGAGGTTCACCAGATGCCGAAGACGTAGGAATAGCGTGGCGTGGACACCCATCCGAGCAAAGAAGTCGAGCGTAGACGAGATACGCAGCGACTTTAAGCTCTTGTAAATGACTGCAGTCTGTGCGGGGTCAGCTACAACGCTCGCTTGCTGTTCGAACCATCCAGGCGGGAAGACTTCGTGGTTGATATCGAGCTTATCCCGAGGAAAGTTAAACGTCGACAAGCAGTATACCAGCACCAGCATGGGGCAACCAGCGACGATCAGAAGATCGAATCTGGAATTACAGATCCAAGAAAGAGTTAGATTTCATCAGTCGTAAAAACAGAGGCGACTGAACTGTGATTCGTACAATAGATCGACTAGCGTCTCGATCAGCCCAATCCTCTGAAAAGGTAAAAACATGGTCGTAGCACACGCCAGCGCGTTCGAAGCGATGATAAAAGTGAAGATAGCGACGATCGGCGTAGGGGAACCAGCTTCTAGAATCTGGACCAGCAAAACGGTCTCGAAGGCTAACTCGCCAATTTTCATTCCAAGCTTCTATCCCATCAAAAACAGCACAACCGTTTAGTTTAAACTGTATGGTACAGGATAAGACAAAAAAACTCACAGCAAGTTGACGGGAAACACTGTCTGTCTGCGCGAGGGATAGGAGCAACTGAGCTGATGAAGTCACTCTGCGTGCGAATTGGTTCGCCGTACTTAGTCTATCCAAAGCAGTTTTATTGGCATCGATCTTTGGAGAAGAACGCAGAGATTCAGGTGCTTGACTCACTCGTCGTTTTGGACGAGCAATCAGTTTTACGAGAATGGCTGCATATCCAATCCCAGCAACAGACAACCCGATCACAGAGAGCCACAGTAGATACGGGGATGGATCTACAAACAGCCAGAAGACACCATTATCGAAGTTCTCGGTGTTCATGACGCGATTCACAGTGTAGTTTGGCGCCATATTTAACATGACAAGCCAAACAGTCCATATCAAGCAAATCACCACCACTGCAGCGAAAACAAGTTGCAGGTATACCGATTTAGTTTGCGGTATTGGGAGAAGAGCAGCAGATATGCTCGAGCTGAAGCGTCTCATAGCCGAAGATCGTCTATTATCTACGCTCGCTCTGCATATGGATCCCTCCCCCGGCTGTATTTTCGTCAACAGCGTCGGCAGCCCTGGTGCAGCCGCTGGTTTTACAAGCATCGGTCCTCGGGTGTTTGCGGTTGGCGCACCACGGGTTAAATTGTACAGGATATCATCCGTAGGCGACGCCACTTGCGTGGACTCAACGTCGCGGTCCTCCCCCCATCCAACCTTTCGTGGCGGACTCTCAGGCCCTTTCATGGAGAAGCACGCTGCTGTCGACGGGGTCGAGTGATGGAGATGTCCAAATAATTGCGGCAGGTTCACGCTTAGAATAGCCCACATTTTTTTTGCTACCTTGCTAAATTTGGAGCCCTCTACGCTTAGTGTTTAGCACCATATATCCGGCGTGCTTTGGTGTCTACATGCATACATGTACATGTATAAGGCTTCTCTAGAAAATAACTAACTAAAATAGAAGCACCATCAGTGTTAAGCTCCATACAAAAGTCTAAGCTACTGACGCATTGGCCAAGGTCTTACCGCTGAAGTGTAACAAAGGTGCCATAGCTATCAAACAGCCTTTGCGACTCAAGTCCCGGCTAGATGCGTAATGGTTGTAAAACCGGGTGAGCTGGAGAGAATGGATAGAAACTACAGTAGACAAGGTATTAAAAAAGGCAGCTCTTCTTGCAAGATTATTCTACACAAAATGGCACGACCTCATTGGCTCAAATTGCAGAAAGAACCTTCGCCTTCCCATTACGCGGGTAATTGGAAGGTAGTTGTAGAATGGTTTTGATTGGTTGCTTGCAACATCTACGTCCGACTAAGATTGTGGGACTTCCCCTAATAACCCTTTAACTGCATTTTAATGATGCAGGCTGCTTGAATTTAAGTGTCAATGTGGTCGTGTTAAAGCGAAAAAACCTCTCACGATATTAATAGTTTCGCAAAATTACACAGGAAGTGAGCTACTGCAAAAAATGGAACCCCAACGGCGAATTGAAAGGGAACAAAAAGTAGCTATTAAGTAACCACACGAATTTCGTGTGGTTACTTAATAGCTACTTTTTGTGACGAAATTGATCATGCACTACGAAAGAGACAAAGTGAATAAACGGCTTAGCAACACTACAAATTTCACCACACTGAAACTCTCATCTCCAATCCCGAAGACGGCAGGCCGATGCCCAGCACAGTCACGAAGAGGACATCCGCCTCTGCAGAGCCTACACCAACATTTCCGAGGATGGCTGCATCAGCACCGACCAGGACGCGACACATTTTTGGGACCAAGTTCATCAGACGTACAGTCAGCTAGGAGAAGACAGCGCAACTACAAGAAAAACAGGGGCTCTGCAAAGCCGATGGGCCGGGCTTATTAGACCTGACGTTGCCCTTTATGCCTCCCGCGTGGTACATGTCATAGTCTCATGTATGTGCACTAATGATTTACACGTACTGCATCTACAGGCTCAAGCTGAAGAGCACAGTGGCTGGACATACAAAGAAAATTCGGACGAAGCTGCCAATCGCTTTACAGCAAAGTGAGAGCAGTTAAATGCTAATGCAGTACGTGAACACGAGGAAGCTGTGAAGTCTAGTCGTGCCAAAAGCAAGCGAAAGCCGCGCCTTCGGGCTGACGCTTTTCGTCTGCACCATTGTTACGGTTTTTATTAAAGAAAGCGCGCGGTTCATGCGCGACATTCCCACGCCTCCATGAACGAGCTCGTCTTGAAAAAGAAGCAGAGGTGTACGATCAACGAGCTGGATGTGCACTTTGTTTTATAATTTTAGTTTTTGTCACTATTTTTTCTTTTTCTTTTATTACTTGTAGATGTGAATATATCTAGTGACACTGCGGAGTTTGACTCAGTCGCTGGCGATGACCCTGCTCTTCCTGCTGATGTCTTTCAGCCTCCTGTTGGTAGTCAGTCTCTTGCACGTCCTGCGTCCGCAGGAAAAAAGAAAGCGAAGCAGCTTTACTTAGAAGAACAAGTCGACAAAGCTATAATGCACTCGGAGCGCGTATTGGCCGCAGCAACTATGGCACAAGTGGAAATCCTAAATGAGTAGCTCCAGATAGCTAAAAGAAAGGTGGAACTGATGGGAAATCAGCAAAGTTCGTTAGATAAAAAAGCTGAAATGTCAATGATGACGACGGAAGGGCTCTCAGAGTTTGGCAAAGAGTATCTTTTTTCTGAAGCAAAAACAAGTATTCGAGCGGATGAAGAAACAAACGCTGACGGAAGAATGAAACAAGGTGAATATATTTCTCTTTTTAATAATTAGATGCAATGGGCTCTACCAACTCATTTTTTAGTTTAAAGTATGAGACTGAATTCATCACACACCTGTCCTTCTCAATTTACGAAGAAGGTGACGCGTCTGATGCGTGAATAGGAAGATGTTGAAATTTGTGACGTCGATATCCAGATCAGGAAGCTGTGTACGAGCTCACAGAATGGGAAGTGTTCTGGCCACTAGCTAGGTCATCATTATTGATCATGTTGTGGAGTAAAACGCAGCACTGCAAGATGTTCTTCAGTTTTTTTGAGAGACCAGCACCGTGCAGGCCTAGCCACAGCTGCAAACCGAGATTGTAAGACTCCAAATGCACGTTCCACATCCTTACGAAGTGCTTCCTGGCACGATGCAAATTTCTGCTGCTTCTCGCCTGCAAGTGCCGATATGGCTTTACAAAGTACTTCCAATCTGGATAGATACCGTCCGCTAAATAGTCAAAAAAAAAAGTAGTAGGTAGAGCCACATATCTCGTACGAAAATTGAGGTACACTATCATCTAAGTACTCGGCAATTAATGGCGATGCATCTAGCACATTGATGTCGTTATTGCTACCTGGCATACCAATAAAGCATATCAAATATGAAAATAAGCAGTAGCGATGGCTTCCAAAATGACAGTTGCCTATTTAGAGGCGCCTTGAAAAGCTCCACACCAGGTGCTAGGGCGGTTTTCCCATTACCACTTCATACAGTCTATGGATCTCAACATGCCAGGGAACCCACGCACCGCATTAATCTCCAAAATTATTTTTATGTCTTCTTTTGATGGAAGACGTAGATGGTGAGGCCCATAAAGGTATATAACAGCTTCAGTAAACTTATCCAATGCTTCTAAAACTGTAGATTCACTCATCCAAAACGTTTCATCCAATGAATCGGCCGAACAACCACAAACTAGCATTCTTAAAGCTGCTGTGACTTTAATAGCAGGATGTACACCATTTTTCCAGTACAGTCCTGTTTTCGCGTAAAACAAGGGTCGTAGCTTCCGTAGCATCTAGAATAGATAGAAACAAGGTCTTTATACGAAAACGTCGTCTAAACTGCTCGTCAGTGTACATGGGTCTCTCTCCAAGACACATTTTGAAGAAACGGCTGTAGGCAGCTAAGGGATCTCGTACTACGTTGGGACTTCTGCCACACGCGAACCACCGCGTTTCTTCTTACGTGAGCGTCGTTGTCGTCGAATATAAGCCTGAGAGATTGAAAGATTCAGTGCGTGAGCGCTCGATAAGTTCATAGTTTCCAAAGGCTTCGTTTCTAAAGACGCTGAAAATAGAAAATGCGCAATACAACCGTTGGGAACTGGCAAATGAATTGCGCAAAAACTGGATTTTCTATGATGCACTCGGGGGCGCAATTCCCGATCCACTCTTGATAATCACTTTTGCAAAAACAGTACCGGTGGAGGTGCTCTAAGCTTAGTTACGAAAACGCAAGCTGTGTTATGAGGAGAAACGAGCCGTGACTCACGACCCATCAAGAAACAGCATCCTGATTATTCCCATTGCGTCCCACTGGAGGAATGTTTATCGGGACCACAGCCGATAAGAAATACATTTATCGCCATAGACCACAAACGCAGCGATTGGTAGATGCATGTACTAGTTTGGCGCTTTGTGATGCGCTATTCGTCGTCCTCAGTTCTTGGCTACACACAGCTCTATATAGACGCGCGCTAATAATTCATTTAGGTCACTTCGAAACTCACATCTACACAAGTATGATCAAGCTCGACTTAATGTGTCCTCATGACCTAGATCAGCTTATCGAACACGCTTTTTTGTTGACCTGTCTGCAGCGGGCGCTATTGTTAGAGATTTCATGCTGTACGTAAATATGAGCGTATGATGCGTATGAAAATATGAAGACGTGAGCGTGCACTTCACACTGTTGCGGCTGGTTTGTTAGCTTAATGAAGAATAGGACAACAAAAGTAGTGACCGACTCGGCCAAGGTGACACGAGTGACGAAACTCGCACATGTACTCTCCGGTGCTTGGTACATATCGAGGCTGCATTTGGTGCATTCACAATTCTGCGCTAGTTAACACGGCCGCCAAATTCAGGAGCTCACCGGATTTACTGCTGCGATTCTTGATGGCCATAGCACGGCGATGATCAGGTTGGTGAACAATGTGGATAATGCTGACGGTATCAATCTCCAAACCAGCAGTCTTCTAGGCTAAAGCACATCCGGCGTGATCCCTGAAATCGAATATGGTTTGCTACCCGACTTTATAAAAGCTTTTGCCATAAAAAACCTGGTTCGCGCGTGTGCTTACAACTGGACTCGAAGTGCAGATTTTACCGCTCGTTTCAGTAAATTGGGTGCACCGTGCGTCTTCAGGACGAGATCTTGCAGTTGTGGAAAGTGGACGGAGCTTACATGAAGCACCATCGATATAATGAAGTGTGCTTAACGCTGGTTGGCAAAGACGGAGACAAGCGGAATATCCCCTCCGTGGTCGCGTATGCTCACAAAGAGACGATAGACAATTTTGCCTGGTTCGTTTCTAATTGTATAGCTGCCGGTATTCACTTTAGCGACCGTGCCACGTTCACGGATAGAGGCAAGCAACTGGGAGCTCAATTGTTTTTGGCACAATGGGGATTCAAGCTATATCTAAAGTTTTGCTCTGTTCATTCACGCTTCAAAACCATGGATAAATTCAAATCATTGAGCTTTAGTGAAGCACATGTTAGCGAAGACGTATTTCAATTGCAGTCGTCTCACCCAAGCACGTCTTTTAGCGGTTCAATCGCTAGTATCAAAGCTCGGTATCCAGACTCGATAACTAAGGTGGGACGGTGGAGAAATTTGTATGGAGCTACTTGCATGACCTACATCCAACGAGTTAGACTATTGTTGAGAGCACGCAATTGTCTGGAGATGAACAGACTTGCTCCATACAGCATTGAATGGAGTTGAAGCATATGTCGAAGCCTTGCCGTTACTTGGGGTGCGAAGTAGCAGCGGGTTGAGGGTGGGATTAATGGCTTGCTGGAGGAGATGCCAGAAACCAACGTATGTACGAGGCATTAAGCAGTGAGCTATCACCGTGTGTACTAAGCCGTTGGCTTGATTAGCAAGTTGGAGGCGGACGGCTTCAAGTTGACTCCCCTCGCCCAAACGACGTTCGTGCAACAGGAGCAGAACAGCGTAGGAAATCCGATTGTACTGCCTGCAACAACCACGGACTTCCTGGTCTTTGATGCATTTGGTGCATCGACAAGGACTGGACGCGAAACGTCACCAAGTGAGCATGGCATCTGGAACCTGCTCAGCGTGCGTTGCAACGGAGCAATTTTGGATTCCTTGTCGCCACATCCTGGCTGTTATTTATCGACTCTCGTCGAGAGCAAGTATGTACCGTTTCTCCATAGGCCCCGACACTATTTCCATGGCGCGTACATTTGCATACTGCGATATCTACTGGAATACGAAGAGGTTGGTGTCCCGATCATGCCTGGAAAGTCTCTTGTTGGAGATTGTCCGCTCGCAATCTGCGGAATAAGCAGTGGATACGCAAAGGCAGCTCTTAGTCAGATATCCGCATTGCATTTGTTTCTCTATAGCACTAACCGCGCATCATTAAAAGTTCAAATATATTGTTCAAACCTCACTGCTCTCAATAACTGCAGTAGAAGTTGTCAACGTGATATCTTCGACAATCTTAAGGAACGTTTAGCAACACGGAGTAGTGGGAGAGGTTGACAACCAGTGTATCAACGATTTTTTTCTGATATAACTCGATTTGTTACGTCGACGCGTTCAGTACACGCTCAAAAGAAATACAAGCGCCTGCGTTAAAGTGCGAAATGACTTCGAATAGGACGTGGTTTTACCGACTCTTGTGTCTACCATCAGCAGCTTCATACTTCATATTCAAGTGCCGACCACACAGCGCACCTTCCTCGGTTTATACAGCTCTGGGCTTTGTTACCACACCGCGCAATGTGATTTCCCTCAATGTTAGTGGTGGTGAATGAGCGGCACTTGGAGAATCATAGACTAATATTGCACAGCTTCACAGTGCACCCGTCTCAGGCTAAAGCACTAGAATTGGTCTTTGGCGATAAACGTCTTTCTTAATGTGGTCCTCGCCGATAAATATCCCCACTGGGGTGTCATGTTCAATCTCTAAATTTAGCTCTAAATATAAAGTGTGCACAGGTACAAAATGTCAATGATTTCTATGTTGAAGGGAAGGTGGTGGACACAAGTTTCCTATCCTTACAAGATCCAAGATTGAATTTGTCTAGTTGCGTGAGGTTAAGGTCCATCGCTGGTATTATTCCGCAACTTTACTGTGAGACGGGCGATAATACTGCAGCTTAAAACTTATTCAATATGATGATAGAAAAACAGTCAAATGGTCCGAATCAAAGGTTTATATACCGGTGCCGCGATACGTATTGACATGAAAACGCAATTTCAATGGAAGTCAGCTTCTGAATAGAGGTGTATCGTTTTATAGATTTCCAGATTTGAATACATTTTGTTCGAACCCCACTAAATTTTAGGAATGTGCACCACAGCAATCGCCTAAACATGATCTGCTTGTTGTACCGATAACGGCGGTGAAATCCGCCCGGTGTCTGAATACTATCCTTCATATAAAATAAAAGTATTACGCGCGACAGGAATACCCGCCCATAAATTTGATTGGTTGAATAGTGGTAGTTTCAGCTCTAAGTCGGAACACAAGCCTAAAAAACGATTCCAAAGGGTACAAAAACGATTCAAGAATCTACAGATCCTGATTTAAAAATACATTAACGCTAGAATACGGAATACGGATTGGTTAAAATTGTTCTCTTTAGTGGGAAACCATGTTTGGGCCCGGGCGTGTTTCAAACGTATGGCGGATTCCACCGTCGCTGTCTGTACTTCGAAGTACTTGATCAAAAGTTATGACATGGTAGGGAACAACTTTAATGCGCATGCGGTATTAGGGATGTGGTGTTGGAAATCCCACGTGAACTCTAGCTACAGATGTAGTTAGGATGTTCCCACAACAATACGTCTACTAGGATAGTAAACGATCGTTCGGGCGGACCTGAAGACCCCAGTTCTGCCCTTGCACCGGGACAAACTGGACCTTGTAAACTACTTATATAGGCCAACCAGTAAAAAAAAAACACGCTACTAGCACGAGCAAAGCTAGCAGGTGTTTTGAATCCTCGTGGTCCCAACAGCGGAAGGGTACCAGGCACGGGTAAGCCTTTTACGAGATCACCGAGTGTTCAACACTCGGCCAGAAGAAATAAAAGGGAGGCAATTTAAGCACTCCCAGTCGTGCAAATAGGCAACAATAAGCCGTCACGTAAAACCTCCCGATAATAATCGGCCAATACACAAAGTCTCTTGGCCTTGCCGGATGAACCCTCGCTACAGAGCTTCGAGTTCACCGACAGGCATAACACACTCAAACAAGCTTGACCTGACGCTTACCTTGAAGCCGGACGTCGCTCTGTGTGCTTGAGTGGAAATTCTGTTCTGTATTTAAGCTTACCCTTTCGGGTCTATTCCTAATAAGAAGTCCTAATCAAGTATACAAATATCAAGTGAACAATGATCCGTTATGGATCTTCTTGCATGCCAAGCGTCGTCTGCACCGTCGCATGAGCATCTTTAACGGTCCGCGCCCTGTCCCAGACGGTGAAAGTGCCTTCCAAGGGTCGCTGAGGCTTCTGCGAACTCATCCCAACCGCCACTGAGAGTTCGTACCGTAGATGGTCCGCTGAATGCGAATCCGGCCAGTCCATTATTAATAATAAGGACAGCCTGGATTCAGTGACATATGCCCGTATCCAATACTCGTTGAACGTTCGGAGGTGACGCCGTCGAGTCCCTTGCACCTTGGCGTCTCCGTACATCACCTGACTGAGGGTTCGTCGCTTGAACAACTTGGGCGGTGTCACGTCTTTGTCGACGGGTGATAATCCGCAACTACGGAGAAATCACTACACCACAGGGACGTTGTCAAACGTGCTTCCTCTAGCGATGAAGGGCAAAAACAGCGGCATGTACAGTACATGTATAATATAGAGAGGCCATATCGCCTTCGGCGGCGACATAGGAATTGGTCATCATTAATAATACAGTGTAGATGGAATTTACGTATGCGTCACAACGACAAATATATGTAGTGGACGCCGCCCAAACTGGCATAAGGCCCGATATGTCAGGTTTCGATTGTTGATAGACCTAGCATACCCCGCCGAGGAAATTTACAAGAAGGGAGTCTACCAGTTCGGTAACATACTGTAAGATAAAAAAGTATTGTATATCGTACTCTAAATAACATAGTACATGGCAGGTTAGCTGTACGCTTATTTCAGAGCAGTGTTGCTTTCAAAACCTTTACTATTAACTGGCAATCGAGGTAAAAAGGGCGAAAAAAAGCGTCCAAAAGGGGAAAACTGGAAAGGCAAGTATATGTGGAAACGGTACTTGCGCTCACTAACAAGTTACATCAGCTAGATTCCTACCTTAAACTTGATTATATGGCGCTGTCACGACAGTGGTGACATCTACTCGATACGATCACTGCAATAGGACGCCTCGACTGATCGAACGTTAGGCTTTGTGAACACGGTTTCCTAAATATTGACAAATATCTGTTTTGGTAGCCCGTCACCCTGTCACTTCTGCGCAAGATGATGCTTATCATTTGGATTTCGTATTGGGAGGACCAAGGCGGTACAGCCTTGCGCTGATCGTCTCTTTGTAGTATGTCTAAATCACCTAGAATCTCTACAAATGCGCTACTTCGAAGTGTGAAACTGCTAACAACGTGATGCGCACCACCGCATGTGCTCATGTTTATGCAAATGCTAGTAATCTAACACTCGTTCTCTTAATAAATTCGATCCGTTCTCGTACCTAAATACCGAATACACGCATCTATTTCCGCAGTTTGTTTTGCTGCGTTTTTCTCTCTTCTTACAGATTGTGCCTTGCAGTTATTTTGCTTCGCCGTTTAAGCCCAGATATCGTACAGGAGTGACGACATAAACAGCACCTAGAAAATGATAGGTATAAATAAATCTGAGTCACAACCTACATTCTGCCACCACAGAAATTTTCTAAATCGGACCTCATTGACGCCCCACAGTCACAGCCACAAAAAACAACGTCGGCAGGTCAAGCTACCGCACCGGCCACGCCAAGACAGAGCAATCTTTGTCATTGGTAAGCTGCTTCTGCGTCTTCACCCTATCTCCTATATTATCTACTTATTCGTGCACGGCGAGTACAGCACATCACACGGGAGAGAACGCTGGCGGCTTGCCTGGTGTTCAGCTTTGAAGATGGCCGGACCAGCCGGGGGTGTTCAACGGTGTTTGTGCATCAGTCAGCCGATTATATTATTAACGATCTAATGTCTTTGTGTTGCGAAACTTGCGGTTTGGTGTAGTAAATGCTGCGCGAATTGATATCGATAAGATGCTAGGGCCAAGTGTGTGGCGCTGATGGCGTGCGACACAATTAACTATCAACAGCAGTGGGGGTTGCAGTAGGCATGGGCATGCTGCCGAACAATCTCATTCAACCAAGCAGTGGATTTACAGTAAGCTCTCTCCCAAATTGTTCTCTATGCCGCAATGTATTGACTATATAGACTTGTACTCATAGTTTATGTGATGTCCAATATGTTGTTATAGGCAAACTACAGCTCTCGTAATACACTGCATCACTTTAAAAAGAACCACTCATTGTTTTCCTGTGTGTTCTTCAGTGCTGCCTTTGCAAATTACTTTTGCCATCATGGAGCCAAGCTGCAACCAAGCCATCGCTGCCATCCAAGCAGAAGGCGGGCAGCCCAGAGTACTGACTGCGAATTTGACTGTTCTTATTCATGCGCCACACGGCAATGCTCGTGGTGGCTAGAAACAAGACACCATGTTCGACGTAGCCGAAGGCTATGATGTGTTCTGGGCGAAACGCATTACGAAAATTAACACACTGGCATCAAGTGCTGAAGTTCTGAAACGCAAGAAGCGACTCATACTATGCGAGGACAATGCTATCTACCTGAAGAGGTCTAGCAATGAGAATCAGGACAAATACACGCGCCTGTCGGCGGCCAATTTCGTCGAGTCAATGCACCGTAGGAGGCGGCTTTTGAAGGGCACCGGAAAGTGAGCTCAAATTATTAGTATTCTTGTACGTGGCCAATGAGACGCCAGCTGATACGTCTGCCGACTTCCACCATGCAACGGAGAAGCGTGTCCAGCAAGCCCGCTTGCAGTTAGCTCACGAAGCTGCTAGTGCAGTTTCATTCAGCCCTAGTACAGCACAACATCTCGACATGCATGGCGACCATCTTTTGAGGTTTCGTCCGGAAAGACTAATTGTTCGGCGTTTGAATTCACAGGCATGAGCCTTTCTTTATATATCCGAATTTCTGCTTGAACTGCCTCGCGCACAGTCTTGGAGAGAACCTTGCGGCTCAGGCTCAAGTCGAAATTGAGAGCACGACAAATTATCGACGTAGATACCGTTTTCAGAAGAGTGTGGTGAAGCACCCGTTGGTAAAGTTGGGAAGTGGATTGATGAGGTACGACTCCCGATCGGGTGTTGGAATGCCACCAGTGACGAAGGCGCATCAATGAGTGTATACGCAATCCACGATATCGGATCGGTAAGGTACAGTCATTTAGATACACGATCTATTTAGTAGATCGACTGATTTGTACCCCGTGCCGGGTAAGTACGATATTACCTTCAAGGGCCAGTTTGGTGATCATACGATATGCAAGGTAGTGGACCGCAAAAGTCTCTAATTATTAACAGAGTGGAATTTGCCTCACAAGCAACAAGTGTCTTCGGGCTTAGACTTCGAGACTGTAGCGGGAGGTATATTGGTCCATACAGAAATTAAGCTAAGTCTACCAGGTACACGTGTCAGTCGCCGGAGTTTGCAGCTTGGCCGGTCGATCGTCTTCACTCTCGTCCTCATCGCCCCCGCTATAGGAAGCGGTCAAGTCTAGCAAGGAAAGAAACAAGACCCCGTTAAGTTATAACAACACCCCACGTCGATCAAGGTCGACCACCTACCTGGCGCGTAGCCTGAAGAGTTTCCACGCTACGCTACCCCCAACCATCATGCGTCCCGCCAAGACGGAACCAACCCAAGCCAAACTTCTCTTCAAGTCCACCAGAGGAGTGTAACCAGATCCACCGATGGGTACACAAGGTGAGCCCTCAGCAACCCCGCGGTTATCGGAGTACCCCTCCGTCAGTCGGTAGTCCGGGGCACGGTGTGTGAGATTGGATCGTAAGTTTTGCGAGGGCCACTCCACCACAAGAGGAAAGCATGTAAACAGCAAATTTTAACCTCATCTATATAAAAGGTCGGGTGGCTCTCCACATACGCTTTCACAAATTTGAGCACCGCTGATGGTCACCTGGTACGCTTCTCCTTTTGTTCTTGATTGCCATTGACTACTCCATCACTCCGATATAGAGAATACAAAGGTCGAGTAGTCCGCAGCTTAGAACCTAGCAGCACCGATTCATGAAGTGGAATGTTGTATACGTGAAGAAGGGCAACGGCTCGCCACCAAAGATCTTTGGAGTACGGTATGAGGGCGATTGGATAGTGAGAGGTTGGTGCTGGTTAAAAGGCACCAACCACTCATTTTGCCGGTATAAACCGGCAAAACGGACTTGTTTCGATTTTCGGGGAAGTTTTAGCGTGATAAATCTTATCTGAGCGGTGGACAAGCTCATGCATTTCCTATCCGCAAATTAAGTCAACCACGATAAATCTTATCTCCTACCATCCGATTTGCCAAAAGCACAGTAGAACATGCACAACATTTAACGTATTCTTCCGAATAAAATATCATCTCCAAATTGAAAACCCCTCCTAATAAAATACGATTTCGCCAAGATTAACCTTAGTTACAAAACCCTCCAGATATTATCGATTACAGCCAGTGCCCTGCCTTCGGCCCTCACTTTCACTTTAGCGAAGAGCCCTACAACCAGCAAGCAAAAACATCAGCACTATGCCCAGTCAGCGCGTCCCCGAGAGTATTGCCGAGAAGAAAGAGGCCCTTGACTGGATTGACCGCTACGCCGACGGCGTTCTCTCACGAGCGTTCAGTCATTTTGCTGCTAAAAAGGGATGGAAGATCTCCGCGGCCCAGATCCGCTACTGGTACAAGAATCGTGAAGCCATCAGGCAAGCCTCGAGCGACCTATTACGGCTGAGGGGTGCCGGTGCTCGTCCTAGACTTGGTGAAATCGAGGACATGCTCTTCGACGAAATTGTTTACATGCGCTCCGAGCATCACAAGGTGTCGAGGCAGTGAATCCAGGCAGCTGCTGTCCACCACACCCGAACCGTGCTGAATGATGACTCTTTTGCTGCATCTGAGCGGTGGCTGAGCGCGTCTATGCATCGATACGGACTCTCCTTACGTCGCACGACCAATCCTACCACTTTAACCGATGTGGAACTTGTTCGACGTGCCGTCCGCTTCATGGCTTACCTCACCCACCTCAAGACACGGTTTAATTTGCCACGAACGGTACTCATGGATGAAACCGCTGTATAGTTCGAGGATCTTCGATGTGAAACGGTGGATTTTGTAGGCTCGCGTCATGTTGTGCTTCGTTCGACGGGGTTTGCGTCGGTGAGGGTCACTGCAGTGCTGGCCGTGTCTGCGGACAGAGCAAAATTGCCCTCGCTTGTCATTTGAAAAAAATGGCACTACCGGTACTACTGATATTAGTAGCTCGATAATAGACAAAATCGACGGAGTGCATGTAGTAACACAAAACAGGGTATGGGTTAACAGCACGCTGCTCAAACGATGGCTGGATCTTGTATTTCCGGGTGCTGATGGATCATTTGCCCGGCAAAGCTCTCGTTTGGGACAATATGAGCGCTCATATTTCGAAGGCGATCAAGGCGAGATGTGCAGCCAAAACGACTGACATGATTGATGTGCCTGGTGGCTGCACGCCATATCTGCAAGCTGGAGATATGGGCATTTACAAGTCTTTTAAAGACAGCATGGCACCTCTTATTAACGAATGGAAAACTTCCGACCGTGTAGAGTACACGCGTGGTGGCAGCCCACGCCCACCTTCCGTGAGGGAAGTAGCTGGCTGGGTCATGAAGGCGTGGTAGTGCGTACCAGACGATATGTTCCTTAAGTCTATAGGTGGTGGGGGTTTCAACAATGCTTACGAGAAATGGCACATAGCGAAACATGATGTCTATGGTGATTCGTTTTGTGCAAAGTGGATACTGCAGAATATGGTAGAGCCTAACCAAGAGGAAGGCGTTCAGCAAGACGACGCCAGTGATGGCGAGTTAGTTTGTGAATTATAATACCATCATAATATAGTACCCTTCGATTAGAATGACTACGAAATGTGGTATACTAATACTATTATACCTGTATATTATTCGGAAGAACCCGTTATTAGTACTAGTATTTAAAAAATAATAATAAAAAAATAAAGTGAAGCCCTGTGACGCGCTGCGCATCAGGACCTTGTACGTCTCCGCTGATGAAGCTAGCCATCCCCGAAGTCGATTTCTCCAGCCCCAATGCTGCAGAAGAGCTTCGTCGCGCCTGCACCGACGTGGGTTTCTTCTACCTCGTGAACCACGGCATATCTGACGCACTCAAGGCTCAAGTGTACAAGGAGATGGCTACATTCTTCAGCCAGCCTCTGGAGGAGAAGCAGAAGGTTCTGGCCAACAAATACATGCGCGGTTACACGCTAATGAACGAGGAGACACTTGACCCGTCAGTGCAGACCAGAGGAGACACCAAGGAAGGCTACTACATCTGTCGTCACGTTCCTTTGGACAGTGACGAGATGAAGTTGCCTCTCCATGGGCCCAACGTCTTCCCTGATAAGGCAAAGCTCCCTACATTCCAAGAGACAATGGAGACGTACCATGTAGCCATGTGCGAACTGGGCTTCAATGTAGCCAAACTCTTCGCTGACGCTGCTGGAGAGAAGGGGAAGTTTGACGGTCCAGGGATGTTCGACAAGCCCATGGCAGCCTTGAGGCTGCTGCATTACGCCCCCGAGAAGTCCGACGTGGACAACGGAGTGTTCGGGGCGGGGGCTCACACTGACTACGGTCTCATTACGTTGCTGTCCACGGACATGACTGGCGGCCTGCAGATCTTCCATGAGGACAAATGGGTCGATGTCCCACCGCGTGATGACGCATTTGTGGTGAATATCGGAGATATGGCCGAGAGATTCACCAACGGAATCTTCAAGTCGACGCTGCATCGAGTCGTCAATGTGTCGGGCAAGGAGCGCTACTCCGTCCCGTTCTTCTATGAGCCCAACTTCACGTGTCAGGTAGAGTGCTTTCCCAGCTGTGTGAGTGAAGAGAGCCCGGCCAAGTACCCTCCGACGACCAGTGGTCAGCACCTCGTGGACATGTACAAGCAAACGCATGCTTCGTTTCACCAATCGCCCACGGCTACAGAGAAGTTGGTGTAGGTGAAAATGGGCTCAAACACCTTACATTGAATTAAAAAAATGATGTCGAATGTGAACTTTAAAAATTGCTATATGTGCATTCTCATAGTTTTGTCAATTTGCAGTGGGAATGTGTTGTCTGGTGGAAGGTGAACGAAGACGACGAGGTGAGCGACGACCAATGCTGTCTGTGTTGCTGCTGCGGCCGACCGCGCAACTTCGTTCCAGCAAGTTTGATGAACAGCTCTAAAGCAGAACTTCACGGTCTTGCAACAGCGCATTCTTCCGTCACTTGTACACGCATTGCAGAAATCTGGTCGATACAGACGGCGAATGTCAACATGGCTACAATTCTGCAACACGCTGACACTAAAACTCGACACTGATGTTCATTGCAGGCAGGCTGGACAGCTCCGCGATGTTAGGCGATGCACCTTACTGACCCACCATCTACAACGATCTCTTGCGGTCTTCGAACGTTGTGTCCGTCTACTGCTAGCGAGGCCAAATATTGCTCAAATTCTCGACAGAAATGGCCTCACAGCGCTCCAGTTGGCAAGTTTTCGTCGCAGCTCAAGGTGAAATCATCGTGCTACTGGAAGCTCTTCAGGCGTACCTCCCATTTCTATGCAATCGTTATTCGGCTGAGAAGTAGGCCAGCTCTCTGCAGAACGCAGTCAGCTCCTCTCCTAGCGCTAGGAAACAAGATTTGTCCACGCGCAGTTCTTCCAGCAGAGCGAGGCGACAGATGCTGCGAGGGAGGCCGCGTAGGTCCCGGTTTTTCGTCAAAACAAGCCTCACAAGAGCCTCACATTCGCCAGCATTGTCTGGAAGTTCTTGCAGAGTGTTCTGTTGGGCGTCGAGATACGCTAATGACTTGTTGCTAAAGAGAGAGCTTGGTAGAGTTTTCAGTTTATTCGCTGCGATATCGAGTCGCTGAAGCCTCGGCAGACTCCCAACTTCTGGGGGTATTAAATGAAGTCGATTGCGACTAAGTTTCAAGTGCAGAAGCGTCTCTAGTCGTCCCCAGCCGCGTGATGGGAGGTACTCCAGTGCGTTATCGCTCAGATCAAGGTATTGGATGGCGGCAAGTGTAACTAGCGGGTTACTGGGGGTTATACCGACTTCGTTCGTGTCCTCCTCGTCGCTAGTACCCAATTTGTAGACACTTTCTGGTGCTTCTTCGTCTAGAATACTCTTCTCGCCAGGTCGCCACAGTCGAAGTCGGTTCTCAGCGTACGTCAGAGTAACCAGTGCTGTAAGGGAGCTGATCTGGGCCGGGAAGCACTCGATCCTGTTGCCTGTTAGCGATAAATTCTTGAGACCGGTGAGCTCTGCAAAGGAAGCAGGAAGTTTGTACAGTGCGTTGTACGATAATGATAGCACCTCCAGAGCGCCCAGCATTCCGAAATAATCGGGCAGTTCCCGCAGCATATTTCGTCCGAGGTTGCAGATTAGAAGTGCACTTAAGTTGCCGAATGCTTGAGGTAATTTACGGAGCTTGTTGCGACTTAACTCGAGTCGCGTGAGGCTGGTCAGACAGGGAAACGACTTGGGCAGTCTTTTCAGTGCGTTGTTGTGCATGTCCAGCACCTCAAGAGATTTCAACGCGCCGAATTCTCTTGGCAACTTCTTGAGTGCGTTTTCGTACATGCATAATCGACGTAGCGACCCGAGATTGCAGAAATTACCCAGAAGTGAGCTGAGCGCGTTGCAACTGAGATCCAGTTCCTCTAGACGCTGCAACTCATGGAATGACAGCGGTAAAGTCTCGAGCTTGTTGCCCGCGAGTGACAACCGTCTGTGGGTAATTGAATGGACGCACATGTAAGATGAAAGTGGATACAAAATTACTAGTAAAAGCTTACTCGAGAAGTATCAGACTACCGAAACTTGCCGGCAAATGTTTCAGTTTTGCATGTTCAAGGCGCAACTCTGTCAAGTGTGTAGCTCGTTCCAGCACCTCCGGAGGAAGAGCAAACAGATCGCAATCCCTCACCGCCAACTTCCCCGTGACTTCTGTATCCTTCAACGCGGCATCAAACTCTTTGAACGCCTTCGTTGATACGCCTGCACCCATGTTAGCTGAAGAATCTCGACAACAAAATGGCTACAGTTTAAAATGCCACCGACCAGCTACCGCCACCGAATACTATGTTTCACCACTTCGATGTATCCACCTTCGCATAAAAATTACTGGAGACCTGTGGTTATGGCTGCATCGCGTCGTGTGCTTCGCCTGCAGCGCTCCCCATTGCTCACAGCGCGTATCCAGAGTCTTGTCTCCATCAAACAGTCGCACGAGAACCGTTGCTTCTCGTCTGCAACGCAAGGCTTCTCGAACGTGCTCCAATTTGCCACCATCCAGCCATCGAATGGTCAATTGACACCCCAAGACTTCCGCTTCAAGGCTGCATTGGTGGTCAATACAGCGTCGAAATGCGGCCACGCTGGCCAATTGAAGCAGCTGCAGGCATTGCACGAGAAGTACAGCGAGCAGGGTCTTATAGTGGTCGCGGTACCGTCCAACGACTTCGCCGGTCAAGAACCTGGAAAGGTCGATGATATTTTGAAACGATATGCGGATTGTGGCGTCACATTCGCTATTGCCGAGAGGACGCCAGTGGCGGGGGATAAGGCCCACCCGTTCTTTAAGAAGATCGCAGACAAGTACAGTACATCGGTGGCGCCTACGTGGAACTTTGACAAGTTTCTGGTGGACCATCGAGGAGATATGAGGGCTGTGTTTCCCAACGACACTGAGCCGTTAGTGACGGAGGTTATTGCGGAGATTGAGGAGGTGCTGGAGGATCTGCCGCGGGGAATCGAACCTGGTCAGGAACTCGAGGACGAGTACGATTATGAAGAAGAAGACAGTGACGACGAGAGTGACGAAGAAGGTGAAGATGGAGAAGACAACAACCGACGATACAAGTAGTGCATGTTCCTCGCTGGACTGAAACACAAGTAAAAGATTTTTATGCTTGAGTATAAAGCTAATGGAAGGACTTGCGGAAGAAATCTTATGAAGTTTTATACCTTGGACAGAAGCTTTCTCCACTTTCGACACAAAGATTTTTGCTTATCCTACCAAAATTTGGCAGTGTGGGTTTTTGGATTCCCTGGGTCATTCTCGTGCGGATACGAATGTTCAGGACGAGGTGCAATTGTTAAAGAATGCCACTCTACGACTCTCCAATACACACAGGAAGCGTTAGAACTACATGCCCTGCTATTCGCTAGTCGCAGCTGTGTCACACGTTGGCTATGCGATGTATAGATACCAAAGTGGACTGAATATGGAGCGTGAAGGAGGAATACAAGCTATGTAAGAGCAAATTACCGGTTCATTTCGAAATGTAGTACTTGGATTTGACAACAACAAAGGATTTACTATCAGGCGTGATGAGATGCACATTTGTATTGGAGTCGATGCTCGTACGGCTTGAATACGAGGGAATTACGTTGAAAGCAGAGATTATCGCGGGCTTGGCGGAACGAGATGTTCGGCTGTCGAAACTATCGCTTTTCGCTGCACACAGCACGACGTAGCACGACAGACACGACGGCAGAGCCATGTGCTATGGGTGTTCATTGAACAATCAAGAAGGTTTCACTATGTGGTGGTCAATGGAAGTGACTGGCTTACGTGCTCTTCTTGAAAGGAGCATGTTCGTTCGTGCTACTCGCTACGTTCACTCACATTTATAAGAATGCTAAAAGCAGATCGAGGACATGACCATGACTGTGTTTATAACCTTGTCGGATGACACTGAAGGAAAACACTTTGGCTGGACTCGAGGTTTTGATGATGGGCGAATATCGGTAGAATTCCGGAACTCTCACCCAAGTGTCTACGACGGTTCTAATTTCGTTTAAATCTAGTCGACGTCAGCAGAAACTCTCGTGCAGAAGCCGGAGAACTCTTTGAGTTCTTCAAAGTACCACAATACGATGGTGGGAGGTGTACAGTTACAATCTGCAGTATTGCAGGGTCTATATTCGTGTCGATTACAGAGTTAATATGACGTCTTCTCTCTTCCTGTGACCCCGGTAAAGAGCCAATCGCTTGAGCGCAGATTCGAATCGTAAGCTCCGTCGTACGCGTCCGTTGTACCCAAGACTGCGTGAACGACTTCAGACGGCGCAGTGAGGTTGAACTCGGGCTGGTCTTCCACACATGACTTGTTCATCCTCTTCAGGTCGCCATTATTTTTCACGTACGAGACAAGCAGATCCAGTCCGCATGTATGATCGCCATCTACTACCAGAGCAGTGGAAGAAATCGTGTCGTGGACTGAATACTCGAACGTGATCAACTCCTTACTGTCCCCATCAAGAGCTTCCAGTAAGTACTCTGCGTACTTGTACGATGTCATGGGATCCAGCTTTCCGTTCAACAGTAAAACACTGGCTTGTGCAGGGATTCTGGCACTTGTGTTCCAGTACTCGTCATGTTCGTAGATGATGCCCTGGCCGACATAGTTACTCACGTTCAGTTCCTTGCACACCGTCGAGTTCTCCTTGGAGAACGCGCAGTATAAAGGCGTGTTCATGTACACTTCACTGTCCGAGATACGCGCGTCAGTAAACCGAGCTCGCATCTCTTCAATCGAAGGGGACGGCGATTCCCACATCTCGGAGAAGATGATGACATAATACAATAACGGCGAGTAAAAGGCATCGTCCTGACTGGAATAAACTATCTCTGCGTTGAGAATCGAGATGAAATACGTCAACACTTGAGCGTCTTCGGGAGTGCAGCGATTCAAGCGGTACACGACCGGAGGGATGAGCTTCCGCAACGTTGATCGCCCCAACAATGCACTCAATGCTCCTCGTAGGATCAGCGACGGTGGTTCGTACCGTAAGTCACTTGTGACATCGTTCATGAGCGAAGCACACGTCGAATTAGGGTCATTGTCGAACGCTGCAAGGACATCCTGGAGCGTGTTCTGAAGCCCTCTGGGCTCGAAACGAGCAGCACATTCGTTGTTGTGCTCACAGAGCGCGAGGAATCTGTCTCCGATGTCACCAAAGTCGATGTTCCAGGTCGAAAAATACTCAAACTTGTCTGCTGGAGCTCCAGATGAAGTCGCAATACTGTCGACAACATATCCCGTGACTGTCGGAGGGTCGAGATGAATGAGGCGTTCTACTAGCGCAGTACCGTAACTCACGCCGTATACAGTAGTGTTGGCTCCGTTCGTGAAGTCGGCAATGAACGTGGCGAGATCTGTAGCTGCACTGGTTACCGAGAAAGAGGCCAGATCTCCATACTTGAACTGCAAGTCTTGTGCACACGCAGGCACTTCAAAGGGGTCGATTTTTGAGCCCTCGGGTGAACCGGTAGTCATCGTTTGAGCCGCCACACAGTCTAGAAACGTACTGCGACCTGTGCCTCGATGGTCCATCGTGTATACGTTGACTGCACCGTCAAGCTGTTGATGCAGATCAATCATCAAAGACTCCATCGCAGTGGACGAGTCGCCAGGTCCGCCTTGAAGAACCCAAACATTCGTGGCGCTCTCGATATCTCCATCCACTGCGAGCATGCGCTTCACGAAAATCTCGATAGTCTTTTCACTTGCTTCGGAGGCATCACAGATACCAGGGTAGCACAGTGGTGCATTGTACATAGCACACTCAGCCACCAGGTCTCCGGTACTTCCTTCATCCGAAAAAGTTAAGTCAGAGCAGACGTACCAGCCATTCAGGCGGGTCTTCAACGCTGTTGCGACTTGAGTTAGTGACACTACAGCGATAAGTTTGATGAGTCTCATGAGGGTCTGCAACAAGTCATAGACGTCGGAGATCTCGCCAATTTCAAAGTGGAAGAAAGGGGGCATCATGGGATCATGAAGTGGCTAAGCGATGTAAGCTTCTTTTAGATGTTCCAAGGGGGCATTACTAAGGTGAAGAGTTCTGGATACTTGGCATTTAGAGTCGATAGCATGTCGTCTTTCCATCGAATAAACCATGTTCCAATCGACGCGGAGGAAGAAAAAAAGAAAACCTTAGCCGGCGCGTGATTTTTAAAGTGATGCGATGGCTGAGGGCATACGTTTCGTCGAGAATCATCGCATATTCCACTCACCCGACATGTTTTAGCTAGCCGTTGGTCTGTCTGCCTATTATCGCCCGAGAAAGGCATGTCGTTTGCTTCTCCATATTTCTAGTCTCCCTGTCAGACATCAATATGGCGTTGCTCACTGCGAAAGGATTGTTGCGCTTCGTGAGCGCTGTCGTGGGTCTCCTGCTCTTCATCGTGGCATGCGCGGGCTTCAACACGCTGAGGCTGTCGGTCTCGTCGGCGGACACTCAAGCGCAGTTCGGCTGTCTCTGCTTCTTAGGCGTCTGCTTCGGATTTCTACTGGCCTTCGGTGAGTCCAAGTGGGAAATCTTCTTCTTCTTCTTCGGCTTCATGCGGTACCGACTCGGTCGTGCCTGCATCTTCGCCGTTAGCGGCATCATGACCGCGATTTTGGGCAAGACTCGAAACCAGCAATGCGACTGCAACGATAGCCTCCTCATTATCATCGAAGGTGTGGCGCTCATTGTCATGGCGATACTACAGATCCTCGCTATCTTCATCTTCGGCAACAACAGCGCGCCACGCTGCAACACTGAGACCATCCGTATTCCTGTTGCAACATTGCCAATCACCGTCACGGACCCACAAATACCGAAAGAGGCGGTGCCGTTCCACGCCATCGTGCAGCCAATTTCGAAAGAGTCGCTGCAAACGCCGTCGCTACCAGCTTCTACAACGTCCCAAGGAGACAGCAACTTGCCGTCATGGATGAATGCGTCGTAGGAAGAAGGGCTACGTTGAAGTAATATTTCATTCGAACTCACACCTACATTTGTAATAATACGATACTCCCTTTCATTTTGGTATTGAAAAAATTTCAGCAGGACTCCCGGGAAACATGAGCGATCTACCCGAGGACTTCCACGCGCTCCTTCGACGTCTTGATGCTATTTCGCTGGTGCGTTAGGCCCACCTTGATCCTCTTTACCAGCCCCCGTGCTCATGGTTTCTACAACTCCATATCAACGTCAGTAAATACACTTATAAACACTCTCTTTTGCGCTGAAACAACAGGAAGAATGCCCGGAAACGACGCCCTACGCGTCCCACTACCGCATGATCGAGGTCCTACAGAAGCTACGGTCTACGTCTCTGCCTCCAGAGGTGTGTGGGAGTCTCTAAGCGCTTCAGAATTTACCACAACACTAAAAGTGTATCATTTTTCCTTCAGGAAGACGCCATTGCAGCCGCCAAACTCGGTGCCACATTCCTAACAGTAGAAGAGCCACACAGTACGTAGCATTTATCTTATTAAGCATAATTTGTCCCCGTAATTAACGCCTTGATCTGTGTGCTAGACGCCCAGCCGGCACTGGAAGAGGCCGCGAACTTCTTCTTTCCAGAGCTGGTAACCTTCACGACAGCGATCACGTCAGATGACGGCCAATCGGAGGCAGGCAAGGACGTCCCCAGCGTACTCAAGCAGTTGCCGAGCGTGGAGATGAAGAACGAGCACCAGGAGCTCGTCGTGTACGTGGCAGAGCTGCTGAACCAGCTTGGAGTTCTCTGGTCGAACAGGTCGAGGCTGCTGAGAGCGCTGTGCTATCTGACGTCAAGCCAAAGGCTGAGTGCGACGTATCAGGACCATCAGGACGACGCGCTGGCAGCGACACAGACGCAGACGCACTTTTACTTGGCCCAAGTATATGGGGGTTTGGGTCTGGCGGACGAGTCGGCCACGTTCTGCTTGTCCACATTGGAGCTGCAACTATTGCAGTGTGTGGACGATGCGCAGAAGGGAGAGACGTTGAGGTTCGCAGGGGCGTACGAGTGGGTCCGCAATGCTCTGAAGCTCGTGGAGTTCTATCTGGACACCGACAACCCCCGAGACGCGGCGACGTGTCTGAAGGCGAGTGAATATATGCTGCTGCATCATGGAGAGAAGGACGAGGAAGACCAAAAGCTGCTGACTGCTGAGATCTACGCGACGTGGAGTCGCCTGCACGTGACGACGCTGCGTCTAGCAGGCTTGAGGAGGGAAGGGTTTGACGTTGATGAGGGGGATACAGTCCTGCCTCGACCCAGCAGCATGGAAGCGACGTTAGCGACGTTAGAGCAGACACAAGAGAGCTTTGACATGACGTTTGTTCCGCCGTCCAGTGTGGAGTCCTTCGACCACGCGCGCGACGTGTTCAAGATGGGGCTACGCGCGTGCACGCAAGCTCGACAAGTGTTCGTCCTGGACGGCTTCGTGACGCAACACGTGCGTCTCTTACAGCGAGAAAGCGCCTTGTACCGGCGCCTTCTCCCGTTCGAAGACGCCCGAGGACGTCGTGTGGCCATGCAGAGACGACGTCTCGCTCTACTGACGCCGATGCTGGGCGATACGCTGAACGAACGCGCCTTTACGGACCTGTTGCAAGAACTGTACTTCGAGTGCGCCGAGATCAACGCCGACGTCTTCGAGTTGAAGGAGGCGGGAGACAGAGCCATGGCGTACCTAGTCAAGGCGGTGCAGTGCTACCAGCAGTTCCTACTGCTCTACTACCCGTCAACCAGCACGGACAACGCAGCTGAAGATCCAGTCCGAGTTGGTGTGCTGCGTGGAGGGAAGGAGGTGTGTCTCCCTCCAGGGGACGCTCTGTCTCCCAACGAGTTCCGGACCTTGTTACTTGGCTACTTCGGACTTGCTCATGCCTGCGGGAAGATCTCGTTGCCGTCCGACACGGCCAAGACCGTAGGGTATTGGCGACAGAGTCTCGCGTATCACGAGGCGGTGACGGAGCTCGTGCGCAAGTACGAGACCAAGCACCACGGAGAGCAAGGCCAGGAGCTCCGTCGCAGCTTCCAGTCCGAGCTGCAAATCTGTCGAGAAATGGCGGAACTGCTGCCGGAGAAAATCAACCAGCTCGTGTACAACGGCAAGGCTCTCTAACGTGTACTTGTACTTACATGAGCATGCCCCTCTTAGCTGCTGTCTCACCTGTGTTTTAAATGTCTTTGATGATGGAGTTGGAGGCCTCGTCAATGTGGAAGCCTGCTTTGGTGAACGCCGCAGACTCGTAGAACTCGCTCAGGTCGTAGATGCCCACAGACTTAGCCTTGGACAGCAGATCGTCTCGAAGAACTGTCAGCGCTGTCTCCTTGTGACTGCGCTGGCCTGCCTGGACATTCGTCTGCATGCGCAGTTGCTGGTAGGCGTGCGCAGACTTGAACAACTCGTGCAGCACGTGAAGCAGCAGCACGTTATTGTCCTGACGATACGTCAAGTACGGTCGGAAGAGACGTCGCCATTGCCGCTTGAAGGTGAACTTCTGGGCGTCACACAGACTCTCGGTCAGCACTCGGATAGCCAGCGCCAAGTCTTCATCGCCCACCGTGTCGCGCAGGTGCATGCGAGCGTGAGCTTCGGCCATGCGGAAGAGCGACTCCAAGTGTCGCACAGCCACGGGAACAGCGCCCGTGTGCTGCGACGCACGTCGAAGCTGCGCGTAGAACGCTTCTATTTTGCCTGTGTCCAGTCCGCTCGCGAGCACCGGATTCACGAACGTCCGAGCGTACAAAATGTACTTGCGCAGTAGCTCCTGGTCCAGTGTCATGCTCGCATCACTGTCGCCCACTTGCATGGACTGCGTCATGGCACTGAGTTCATCTTCCTCGTCGGCGGTCTCTTCTTCGTCGTCGTCTTCCGGCCTTTTCTTCTTCGAGTTACTGCGCATGTGACTGGAGACTACAAAATCTGCTAGCCGTTCGTCATCCACAGGGTCCACTTTATCCTGCAGGACACAGAGCAGGTCGAAACGCTGCAGGATCGGGTCGGTGAGCTCCACATTCTCCGCGAACGTCCGCGCAGCGTTGTACCGACCGCCAATAGGATTCGCCGCTGCAATGACCGAGCAACGAGCCTGCAGCGACGTGACGATACCGGCCTTTGACACCGAGATACTCTGCTGCTCCATGGCTTCGTGAATACTCGTGCGGTCCTGCTCGTTCATCTTGTCGAACTCATCGATCAGACACACGCCCTTGTCTGCCAGCACCAACGCTCCGCCCTGCAGTACCCACTCCTTCGTGAAGGGATCGCGAGACACACCAGCCGTCAGACCCACAGCTGAAGCACCTTTGCCTGTCGAGTACACTGCACGAGGAGCCGTCTGCTTGGCGAACTTGAGAAACTGCGACTTGGCTGTACCGGGGTCTCCCACCATCAGCACGTTCAGGTCGCCACGCACGCGCGAGTTCTTGATGAACTTGGGTTTACCGCCAAACAAGGCCAGTGCCAACGCCGTCTTGACTTGCTGATGGCCGTAGATGGACGGCGCGATGCTGTTGATGATCCTTTGCGCAATATCCGGCTGCTTCGCCAGTCGCAAGATCTGCTTCTTGTCTTCTGCAGTGAGCAACTGACTACCCAGCACATCCGCACGACGCTCGACGTGGTTGGCCTCGATCACAGTACGGAAGACAGGGAAGCCGTCGCGTAAGTTGAGCGTCGGGTCTGGCGTGTTGGTGTAGATGCCGGTCACTGCGATCTCGTCTCCAGGTCGCGCCTTGTCGATGAGGTCTCCCACCAGCACCACGTCCTTCGAGCGAGGCACACGACCTGGAGGCACACTGCCAGGTGATTCCTGCAGCGTGATCTTCTGGAAATTACGATACACGGTCTGCTCGCTGTTAACGGGGAAGTGGCCGCGGAACTGACACTCGGGACAGGCGTTGAGCTTGACTTCCTGCTGACTCTGCTGCGTGAACGGACCCAGCACGGCGCCACAGCCAGGGCAGTTGACTTTGACCAGCTGCAGCTGCGGGAACACTGATGTACGTCTCGTCACCACGCCTGAGACTTTGATCAAGAAGTTCAGGTGCGCAGTACGCAAGTCGCGCAGTCGCTCCGTGCCCGGCAGATCCAGAATACGCACGTAGATCTGTTGGTGGATGGTCGCGTAGTACGGGAACAGGGCGAGCACCACGTCCTGCGCCACCTCGTCCAAGATGGCCAGCATGTCCTTGGGGGCTTCCACCAGCCACGCGGCCACCATCGACATGCTGTGGATCACGTCGCCGATCTCGATCTCCAACGACTGCTCGTTACGCTGCGCCATCTGCACGATCTTCTCGTGATACACCAGTCTCCCTCTGCCGTCCAAGAAGGAGTTCAGGAAGTTACGGAACCTTCTCTTGATCTCGTTTCTTGGGGTCTCGGTGGCGATCCACTCGCGTAGAGGCACGTCGAAGTGCTCCAAGTTGATGAAATCTTCGTTGCCCTCGTCTGCTGTGCCGCCCAAGTCTGCGTCTCCATCCTGTCGTCGTCGGAATCGCCGTCTGTGGGTATCGTCGTGCTCCATTTCCTGGTCTTCTTGGAGCACTTGGGCGATGCGTCCATTACGTGCGTCTCGGCGGTTCAGCTCGTCCTCGACGGCTCTGCGTGTGTCCCGATCCATGTCATCATACTGTCTCGTGTCAAGCATGGCAGTGTCGTAGCGATCCAGTGTCTCCATGCGGCGGTAGTCCCTGTATAATAAAGAACAATGAAATGAGACGGTATCCTTAAGAAACGCGACCTTCCAGCGCCCTACATCTCTGCGTTCTCGCCCAGATCTTCTCCATCCGCGTCGTCATCCAGTTCGTCTTCACTAAAGTAGTATCTCTCCCGCTCCTGGATGTCCAGCTCGTCTACGATCTCCTCGTCCAGCTCCTCGGCCTGCTCTCCATAGTCGTCATCTCCCTGCGCCTCCTCCCGCTCCATATCCCCCCACGACAAAGTCATCTACGTCGTCTGCGTCATCTCCATTCGCGATCTGACTCAGTGTTGGCGACGCGGGGGCGTTGGAAGGAGTCGATGAAGGAGCGTCACCGCGGCGCAGGCGACGCCGTTTGCGTCCACGACTGTCATCGTTGTCGCTGTCTGCCTCGCTGTCCTCGAGGCCGTTGGCGAGCGAAGCAGTGGTATTGTATGCGCCAGGTGTAGGAGAAGCTGATGCCACCGGAGCGGGGGTCTGCAGGTTTGTAGAGCCGGTGTTAGAAGGCGAAGCCGGAGGAGACGCGTCGCCCGGGGTGTCCATTTTCGGATCGAAGTGAATAATGCGAGTTCCCGCCAAAAATGATGTGATGCAATTGGCTCCAAGCATGAAGCTGTGGGATTGGTTGATAAAGAAAAATGTATTTTCTATTCCTTTTGTGCCGCTGTACAAGTACCTAGCGAAATACTGTCTGTCTTCTTGGTGAAGCTAATCCACATTATTAAGAAGAGCTAAGTAAATATGTACAGATTATAGCTTCAAATCCGCCTCCTCAATAGGGCGGCTTCAAATTTTAAAATGTATGTTTGCTCACTTTGTTTAAATATTTTTATACAGTTTTTTTAGAACATATATTAAAAAAAGCTAATGGATCGAGATATTTTGATTGCATGTTCTTAATTATTATTTTTTAACCCCCCCGTTACTAAGGCTTGAAAGTACAAGTGATCTCTACTCTATTCGATGGTATGCTGATCACGTATTTACTCAACGAATTTCATGGATGCCCATTGCTGACCACTCAACTAGGAGAAGTCAGATTTGTCGAGAAGGAATCATCAGTCCATCAAGTCATTTGTCGGAATCATCCACCCTTCGTGAGCGATCCATTTCTAGTAGGAGCTGCCAAGTGCCCAAGCAGCGTTACCTCGCTTGTCTATAAAGATGTCAGATTTTTCTCTTCTTTCTCGGTTATTTCCTACATAGATCCAGCACACAATAGTTAGTTCAGTCTCAATACTTAATCGTATTTCAACAATAAACTGTAATAGCTCACCTCCAATGCGAGTTTTATTTATGTCTTCATCACGTAGCCAATGTTGGAGTATCTTTTAAATACTGGACCAACTACTGAAAGTAAGGGGTTGTTCCCCCGTATTGATACAGCAGGCGAACACCCTGAAAATAAATTATTTATATGACGGTGGAACTTTCCCGCCAAAATGTTGGAGAACTCGTACGCTTCACATTTGATCGTTTCACTGTATCGCCAATGCCGCTCTATCTTCGCTACAATCGCTAGGCATCCTTATAACCAATCCAAAGAATGATACTTGTTTCTCGATGCGTCTTGTTGGCCTCCTCGTGGCCCCATCGTCGAGTCTGGTAAACGTAAAGACACCTTGTCTTAGGTAAGGCTACAAGCGGTATAACCCAGCTTGAAGAGCCTATTTAAGGTCGGAGTGGGTACTGCGCTTGCTTTGAGGAAGAGCCGTTCACCATTTGGAGACTTCGCCCGCCACCTTGAGACCGTTACAAATGCGTCCTGACCTCCGTTATTATCTGTCAAAAAAAGGTTTCAATTTTGTTATAGAAAAGTTGCCTATTGGTGATTAATTGTTATATTATGCAGACATTATCATTAGCTCTTTGCACGTTAAGGCTCTTTACAATTTGCGGCTAGTGCTATTAGCTTTGCTAGTCTGGGAGGCCCTGTAACATCCTTCTTTTGACAGCCTAAATGCACTAATCAAAATTTAATCCAATCGTCTTCGTCCATGACAGCTGTAAAAGATCCAAGCGGCCCTCTAAAAGCACATGAAATAAGTGGTTTAACTCTTTCAGTACCACTTATTTTTAACTCTTTCAGTACTACTTTTTTATAACTCTTTGAGTACCACTTATTTTTAACTCTTTCAGTACCTGTTAACTCTTTTAATATTAGTTAAAACGATATCACTATTTTTTTAAGATTGCTTAATCGATTTTAATCCACCACTCACGTGTTGTAAAAGATTAACAATTAGCTGAAATATTATCAATCATAATGAGCCTGAGATCCGCGTTCAGGAATCGATAGTAGCACGATTTTTAGCCAAACTCCTATATTAGAGCATAGCAAAATTAATACTCTAGCGATTCGGGGGATAGCACTACTATACTAGTAGTACTATACGGCCAACTATTGATTGTCGACCACCCAAAATCATCCTCTTTAGCAAATTTGGCCCATGTAGGACAACGAAAGCAGCGGCCATCTAAGCGACACGGGGCTAGGCTAAAACAGAAGAATTAAAACGCTTAACATGCAGGCAATCTGCAAATGCTGGTCCAGAGGTCGCTATCCACCAGAAGGTAATGATAATAGTAGTAGTAGCTATACTTTTATTAGAATCATATATCAAAAGTAGCTCCAAATTTCAGAAGCTAGCGAAATTTTTACATATTAAAATCTTAGATTTGAAAAATATCAGACCTTTATAATATTCTACTGCTTAATACGTTTCTTGACACCTTACCCTCTCTTGAGTCCAGAGTATGTCTCCGTCAGGTTCTAGAAGTGACGGCAGGTTTCAATACCGACGAGTATTTGCTTTGGTGCTTCACTGTGGCACAGGCAAAGCGGATCCAGATGGTAAACCGCAAACGGTTGCAGCGTGAAGTCGATAGAGCGAAATCAGGGTATTTGTTGCTGTTCCCTGCCAATAGCTCGTCCACATCGTGCGCTACAAACCTGCAAACGGAAACGCTAGATTAACGCGCTCAGCAGTGCCTACGGAACACATCAACCTTGCCGTCACTCTCACAATTGCCCTGGAGCTGCATATCCCCGGGTACCTGGGCCCGGTTCCCCAAATTATAATGCGAACGTCCATTGGAAGGAGTAACCTTTGTCATTTGATGACTCAATCCGGAGTCTCCTTTACTACTACATTAGAATGTACATAACTTAACCCCTCTAGCCCCGCCGCCTGTATTCTACAGGATATAAATTTTCGTATCCTGTATTCTAGAGGATAACAAAAAGGCCATTTTCCTCATTACAAAACGTAAGTGTTTCCATACAAACTTCAAGTGTCCACTGAAATTTAAAGTTTTAGAATCACGTTGCTAACCTCGGGTCAATAATTCGTGGCTACGACTTTTTCGAGATTTAGGAAGAGCGAGCGGCGCGCAAATTTCGCGCCATTTGCGAATCGGACGGACATCAGCAAGAACGGCCTCATGCCAAAGCGGAGGCAAATCCGGCCAATAACTTGGGGCAAGCTCTGGACGAAGCTAAAAAGGTTAGGATGGCAATTCGAGCGACCTAAAGGGCTATCCAGCCAAAACCGATACTTCACGCCAGAAGGCTGGTCAAGAAGACCAAACGCTACGCATCTTGTCGACTACTTCGATGGGCCAGATGAAGTATGGAAGCATTTACCCGTGAAAGGTATGTCGATTGGATGGTACTGACCTACAATCTAGTGGCTAATATCCAAACGTTTTGTATGATGAGGTTCCTCCTGCCAAGCGATCCGCATCTGCATCGGCGCCTGTTGAGAAGCAGCTGAACATGGAACCTGCTGCATCAACTACAAAACCTCCGACCAAGGCTCAGTCAACCTCCCGGGCCAAACCAGCGGAGGCTCAGACCAAGTCTCCGGCGAAGGCACTAGCCAAACCTCCACGCAAAGCCCCAGCTAAGACGTCGTGCAAATCGTCTACGACGGTTTCAGGCCAGGCGCCGCCCAGGTCACTTGGCAAGACCTCATCCACGCCGCCGCCCAAGGCTCCAACCAAAACTCCATCAGTGACGCCGCCCAAGTCACCGGCCACGACCCCATCCACGACACCGGCTAAGGCTCAGGCCAAGCAATCACCAGCACCTACAAAAAAACGAGCCAGGAAGTCCACCGCTCCAACTATTGAACCAACGTCATCGACGCCACCGAGACCGACTCATGTAGCCGCAGCGACAAATCTGGTGGATTTATCGACGGGTGACGACAGAATGGAGTCTGGAGACGAAGACGACTTTGTATTGGAGGATGGCGACTATTCTGACGCGGAGGCGGCCAGCGAGCGTTCTGCAAGTGATGCTAGTGATCCCGAGGAAACAAGTGATGAAGAAGATGCGGTGGATTTGTCGGTGGGTACGCCCTTTGACAGAATGAGCAAGGAGGACCTGAGCGAGTATGCGAAGACGGGCTGGACAACATACTTCGAAGCCGAAAGTAAGTATAATCCTGTACGGTACAGGTTTGCATTCATCAAACTCTTTGTGTGATCCGCTAACTTTGAAAACTGTGTGCTGAATGCAGGCAGCTCTCTCGATTTGCCTTCGGCAAGTCTGACCAACTGCACAGCAGCTCCAACTGAGATCGCGCAAGCACTCGGGTGTAATATGGAAGGACTCTTCTTCCTCTTTCTCCCCAAGGAGATGTTGATATCCATAGCAAAGGAGTCCAATCGCTATCAGCGCCAGTTCCGGTCCCAAGCTATTGAATCGATCATGATTCGCCAGCGCCGCATGAAGGAGAGACGCCCCGAATACAAAATGAAGACTCTGCAACAAGTGAAGAAGGAGCTAGACGCATTCAAGCCTATCCAGCCGCATGAACTGGTGCATTTCATTGGTCTACTATGTGCAAGAACATTATGCCCGCATCGCGAGAAGCTAGCAAAACACTGGGCAGTCGATGCACAGGGCGCGGTACCAAAAGGCACCTTCGGACGTTTCATGTATAGAAAACGCTTCGAAGAAATTGTGCGGTTCATGCACTTTAGCAACAACAACGACGCCTCTGCAAAGCAATACAAGACTTGGAAGATCAAGCCCATTGCCGATACAATCAATAAGACGTTCAAGTTAGACATGAGTGTTGGACAGCGCATTGCATTTGATGAAGGTATGATACCCATGAAGAGCAAGTACAACCCCATGCGGCAATACCTTCGTGCCAAGCCCCATCCATGGGGTACCAAGTGCTACTTGACGTGCGACGCTGCAACGGTTTACTGCTACAGGTATGTCAGAGAGAATCTATATATTCTACAGGTTAGCGTCTAACAAGTTGTGATTGTTATCCTGTGCAGGGCTGAAATCTATCAAGGGCGGCTGACGAGTGTTAGTGCTGATCTGAACCAGGGACCAAACGCGGTAATTCGCAACCTTGATGATGTGCTCGACGGACTGCCGAAAAAACGACTCGTCATTACGGATCGGTTCTACTCGAGCGTGCTGCTGTCTTCGATTCTCCTACAACGGGGTCTTTATCACGTGGGCACCATTCAGACGAACCGGCGCGGATATTGCAACACGATTCCATACAAGCAAG